AGAACCGGGATCATATATACATATATGTGGTGTGTGTATATATATATATATATTACACTGTAGATCACAGTATCAGGATATACTATGTAATAAACTATTAATTATGTTTGGTGGTTTTTACACTCCCGCAGGTGATGGCTTTGCTTGAGTACGGAGCGATGGTGCGGGTCTGGCTGGATGCTGAGAAGTTTGCAGACGGCGCCTTGATTTGGTTTGGTTGCGCCACCCGTGCGCTGTCTCGAGAGCTCTTGACAGCAATAGGGTTTAGGGTTTAGGGTTCAGGGTCAGGGGCCAACATCATTAACGCGTAGGGTGTCGACAACAATGATGCAAAATAGGCAGGTAGCAACTTAGGAACGGACCCCGGTTGTCCTTCGGTGTTTTGTTTGTAGGTTCACATGGTTTACTGATCAGGATTTCGGGCGATAAGACGGGATGCCTACATTTTGTTCACTTCTGCCATTGTCGCTTGGTTTTTCGGACTTGGGATGTCAAGTTTGACCGCTGAGAGTGATGGATCTTTGCAACCATGCGGAATGCACTTCCGTAGACAGACAGCCTGAACGAGAAGGGAACCTATACCGTATTCGGGGACAGATGCTTGGAACAACGACCGCATATATACATACACCCACATACACTGACATACACCTTTGTACACAAGTGTGTATATATATATAACGGATACATAGCTGGTTGCTATACTATTGTACGAGTGGACAGTGTGCTTTGGGCGGATGGCCGCATGTCCCCAAGAGTGAGCCAGGCACAGCCCAGCGTAGGGTTTACTGAACTTCAAGCCCAGGAAGATGAGCTGCTATACTATGCTTGTGGAATTCTAGCAGCCTGCTACATAGAGACCTTCCCAGCCGCCCACTAGTTGACACGGTCATCCCAGGCAAGTCGGTACATAAACCTCTGCTATCACCAGATCAGCCCAGTAGTATTAGTGATATTCCGGGCTCCGTCGGTTTCCAACTCGACTTAACACGTAAGAGTCTCATTGGGTAAGGCTATAGCTGTATGTGCTAGGGCTGCCCACACTGTCTGGTTATAGCTACCCGTCATAATAACGCTACTTACAAAGTCCCTTGATCCGCACGCTTATACATATGAGAATGATATATATATATATATATATATGTATATATATATATATATATGTACCTTTACCCATGCATCCTTTACGTTTTCATGCGACACCTTGCTATATCGTATAATCTTATCGTATTACGAAGCGGCTTGAGACCCGGACCCAAACCGACTGGACAGCACAGACACGTGTCCAAGGCCTCGTCCACAAGACGAGCTTCCGGGACAGACCTGCGTTTTGACATCCCAAATCAGTGAATCGATCCTCTTAAGACTCACGCCTTAGCCCTAATGCTGTAGCATCAGTTATGCCCCGGGCGACCCTTGTCTTGTCACTGCTACCGAAGCCACCAGTGCTACCGACTGCGGCTTCTTTTGAACGAGCGTTTGACATGTGAGCCGGGCGGGTTTTTCCCGTCCGCAGTAACGTCAAAACAATTACACGGAGCTTGTGAAATCGTTCCATAGAACAACTGGCCACGCCAGCACAGCAGCCGCCAAGAAACCTTGCCCCAACGCTCAAAACAACCCATGACAAAGAGTCGCTTAAAGAACAAATGGTCCCACTAGCACATCAGCCTCGCACTACCAGGGCCATGTTTATGGGGTACAAACTGGGGCTCAGGATGTATGGGCAGAACACAGACTACAGTACAAATCTCGGGCGGAGCGTTACTTGTGTCGTGCCAGCTGGAGCTACCTTCAGGCTGACGGATCCTTTTGCGAAGCGTAGGGTGAAGCAACCACGCCGCGACCGGCCACCCCTGACTTGCCAAGGACCATGAACTGGCGCCTGTGTCCTTTTGAAGCACTTGCAAGATAAGCACACAAAAACCCAAACTCCAACAACCCTATGCTCCAAAATCGCAATACCTGTGAACCCAAAAAGCTCGAAGCCATGATTGCCACACCCCTAAACCCCATAGCCGTAAACTTCAAGTGTGAAGCCTAAACCTCTAACTAAGCCAGGACGGGCCGGTAGAGGATGTCGCCAGCGAGCTGGAGGTGGGACAGGTTCCTCAGCCGGTACCGTACCGTAGGTTTGACCGGGCATCGTAGGTTTGACCGGGCACCGTAGGTTTGGGTTTAGGGGTCGTAGGCAGGACCGGAGACGGTAGGGTTAGGGTTTAGGTGTCGTAGGCTTGACGTCTGGTTAAATTGATTTGCTTCAGCATCTTCAAACCATCAGCCTGGTTTCCACTGTTTCAGCTTTGCCTAAAACACAAGTTGCAATAAGGTTACAGTACTACCTGTAGTCGTAGTCGTAGTCAGTAGTACGTAGTAGTAGTAGTAGTAGTAGTAGTAGTAGTAGTAGCAAGAGTGGCAGCAGTAGCAGTAGCAGTAG